ATAAAAATACAAAACTGAAGAGTAAATTTAACCGAATAAATGGTTTTCATGCCATTATCTAATTACCAAATTTGACCACATTTACGAAATTTTAAGATAGTAATTCTGTTATAAAAGAATATTTTGTTGTTAATTTTACCAAAATCATTACCAAAGGTCTTCAGTAAAAATTGATATTTTTGCTATTCTGATAAAACCAGAAACATGGTAATTTTTTTAAATCACATTTTGGTAGTTATAATATACTTTTTTTCTCAGTGTATGAAGATATACTTTCTCAATCAGTAATTTATTAATCAAAATCATCATAAGATTGTAAAGATTCCTCAAAAATATAACTAAAAGTGTTTTCTTGATATGTAGACATCAATTATAGCCATGTTAAATTTGAAATTTGAATAAACTAACAGGCACTGAAAATTTTGATTGGCAATATAATAGGTATTTATGTGGATTATTTTTTTTTTTCATTTTAGGATTTGGAAGAGCCTGATTTTGGTGATCAAGTACCGTTTGAAAGAGTGCCTCCGCGAATAGTTTATCCTCAACCTACCGAAACTTCACCATATCAGGTAAAATGTAGACGTTTTCATCAAAATTTGAATGCACTCTTATGTACTGAACATTACTCACTTATTCAACTTAAATTTAGCAAGCTAAGAGATTTTAAGGATAGAAAATAGTAAAGGATGGAAACATTAAATATTTCTAGGCAGCTATATAAAGTATAGAATCGGCAAACTAAAGTTATTACCCCCAATATGGTGACTATTTCTACTTTTATTTAAACCAAAAAAAAAATTCTGCAAGCGATTACAAGCACATATTAGTAATAGTTAAGAAATGTTCGGTTTCCTGAGCAAACCAGAAAATTTCTTCACGTCATATGCTTCAAATATTATAAAAAATATTTACATAATTCTGAAAATAATGATGCCGTTAACTGAGAAGGCAGTAAACGATGTTTAAAAAATAATTGTCATTCACAGTCACAACGTGACGAGTTAAACTGACAGAAGTCCGGGAAAATAGTTTATTTGTGACTAAATCAAAGCTTAACCCTGTCCCGCCCCCGTCAGAGGGCATCCGGAGAATACTGTAGACTCTAAGTGCACGTATGTGACCTCTCAGTAAAAAAAAAGGAGGATTCAAAAAGGTAGGCTTGGTGGAGATTCATGACAACACCAGAAGGCCTCAAAGAATTTAATGAAATCTTAAAATTAACAATAGTAGTTACTAAGAAAATAGAATTTAGGAGTTTGAGTGCTTAAACATAATGGGCGAGGCATCAAAAAAAAATTGAACAAAGGTAAACATATTGTGATGATGAAAAATATCAGAATTTGCCCAAAAGCCCATGAAAATGGATACAATTTCAAAAACAAGAGTTACGGCGAGGCAGCCGTAAAGAAAAATCCTCAAACAAGAGGAAACTCAAAACATGAATAATTAGAAAAATTTACAAAATTTTGAACAATAAATAAATCGAAAATCATTTTTAAGGAACACAAATACAGTATTTGCGAAGGTTACAAGATAAAATAAATAAATAAGTAAATAAATAAATAAATATATAAAGTAATATTAATTTTGAAATAATATTAAAAATACTATTAGCATACAGAAAATTATTTGTGACTAAATAGAAAACATTTTTTATTATTACTCCAGTTATCAATTCCAACTCCAGTTATCAATTATCAAAGCTTGTTATTAATTTTGAAACTTGGCGAAATAAAATTTTGTTTCCTAAGCAGAAGATAGCAAACAGTGCATTTCTATCTTCTTTCGTTTTTTTTAATTGATTTAACAAATGATTACTTTACTATCTTCGTTGAGATAGTAATTCTT